TAGGGTTTAGGATTCAAGGTTTTGGGGGTTGCGGAATGCAGCCCCAAGAAATCCTCGAATGGAACATCTGTTCGGCCCGTGCTCAAGTTGCTGTAGGGTGGGGTTGGACTAGCGGATTTTGGCACTGAGCAAGGGCATAACTTGTGAGGTTAGGACGAAGTCTTGGATTTGAGAGCGCGCGGCCTTAAACCCTAAACCCCCCCAACCCCTAAACCTAAACCAGCAACCCCTGGGTTAAGCCCTACAAAAGCTCAAAAAACCGCAAGCCCTCCACGCTTTCGGCTGTCCCGTGGCAGTTGAGCCAGTGACTCCAAAACCCCTTAATTAAGGAATATGCCTTAAATCTTAGTAAGGTTCCTACTATAATTTAAGGCATATATTCCTTAATTAAGGTGTAATCCCTAAACCCTAAACCCTATAAACCCTAAACCCTGAACCCTAAACCCTAAACCCTAAGCCCTAAACCCTAAACCCTAAACCGTTGAGCCAAGTGGCCGAACATCTCGTCCTGCGCCAGCTTTGCCTCTGCCTGCGCCTGCCCAAAGGTTCTGACGTCCGTTAAAGGGTCCTACGGCTGAGGGTTTAGGATTTAGGGCTTAGGGTTTAGGATTTAGGGTTTAGGGCTTAGGGTTTAGGGTTTAGGGAGGTCCTACGAATATACTATATACCATAATTCCCATAGGTTTAGGGTCCTTAAGGTAATGCAGGATCTGTATCATCAACAGTATGGGCGATTCTAGGTAGCGGGTACAGGAAAACTCTAACTTTTCAAACTCTCGACTTACAGAAATAGCAGACATAAAGACTGGCAACTTAGAATCATATGCTTTCCAGCAACGACGGCTTTTCATGACAACGGGAGAACCTGCATCCTGCACAAGAATGAGCCCTGAACCCAAAATGCTAAACCGTGATGCGGTCACCTCGCCCATGTCTTCACAGCGGCGCAAGACCTCCGCCTCAATCGACTGGACATCGTCCTGACCGACACTGTAGGCTCTGGGGTGCAAGATTTCAAAGTGAGCGCTAATGTTGTGGTTTGGAGGCTTCGTGGTTGATGGGTGACGATGGCCTTACTGTAAAACCAGTGGTAAGAGAAATCGTGGTCATCAAATGCGCATCGTGATGATATTGGCAACCCCCGCTGATGTTGAACGTTTCTAGCATTGACGCCGGTACTGGTGATGATACTACATGATGATGACAGTCAAGGTATACATCAAAACATGATCTTCTGCCTGAATGTCGATGGTTCTGCTGCACACTCTCCTTTCTCCCTGCTAGTATCATGGCTGGCTTCTGTTGTAGCAGCAACGTCGAATGTTTTCCTTGTTTTGTACAAATTGTGTGGTTTCATGATGTAGGTATCTCTGTGTAACTAGTCAGGAGCCCTGCACGCAAATCATGAGATTGCTGCCCTTGCTGTTGCTGCAGGACGTTGAGCGCTGTTCAAGGCGCCATGCTTGTCTTGGTGCTGTTGATCTCAAGATTGCTCCTGTTCCCGCTGCCGCTTGTACAGTTACTCAGTTCCTGCTCAGCCTCCCAAATTCCAAATCCTGAACCGGAAACCCTAAGTCCGAAAGCCGAATCCAATCGCAAAAACCAGGCGTTTATGACTCCTGCACTTGCCCGAAGCGCTCGACCAACCTGGCTGGCATGCAAGAATCCTGAAGGCTCTCAAGCCCTAAACCCGTGAGAGTTTTATGGTCCAGCCACTCCAAAGCCTACACCCTAAACCCCGATCACGGCCCAGTAACCCCACCTAGACCCTAGAATTGTAGTACCTTTTGGATACAACATATAATACGCATACATATACGTATATATATATATATATCTATGGGTTGAACCTTTACGCTCTATTTGATGGCCGCCCCCTGCCCAGTATGAATATGAAGAACTCCTCAAAGAACCCTCGTACAAACCCTTACGGAACCTTGACAACGAACCCTTAAAGCAACCCTTCAAACGAAACCTCCTCTTTAGCAAATAACCTTGAAAAGCAACCCGCATCAAAACCCTTACAACTTTTCAGCACCCGTCAAGCACAGCGGAGAGTGTTGCTCGTAAGGGATTTAAACTTAATTGCTCTGCAGATCATGGTTTCTTTTGGAATCTTTACGCTAGTCTTTTGGCAGCGACCCGAAGAAGGATTCCGGAAATGAACTGGGTTTCCTTGTTAAAGAAGGAACTTGAGTTCACGTCGTAGGAAGAAGACGCACGACTTTATAATCCTGACATATAATCGCATGGTCTCTTCAACTGCGAGGTGCCTAAGCCTAACGCCTAAATCCTAAACCCTAAACCCCCTAAACCCAAAACCCTTAACAAAAAGCCCAGTAAGGTAAACCCCCTAAACCCAAAACCCTTAACAAAAACCCTAGTAACCTAAACCCCCTAAACCCAAAGACCCTTATAACACAAAATCCAGTAAGGTACCTTCGAGAATCCATGCCGGGGATGCTTGCCAGTCTCTGCTGCTAAAGCATCACGGAGGTTCTCCATCGCTTCCTGCTTTCTTACTACCCTTAGCATCGAAGGACTCGTAGTTTGTTGCTATCCCTAAGGCTCTAAGGACTCGTATTTTGTTACTATCCCTAAGGCTCTAAGGACTGATATTTTAAGGCTTTTGGGCCCAAAGACCCTATTATATAAGGCTTTTGGGCTATTTTGATGCTAATGGCTATGTCTTCTTTGAGGTTTATGTAGGGGTTTAGGGTTTAGGGTAAGGTTCAGGATTTAGGGATTAGTGTTCAGGGTGTGAGGCGCGGCTTAGGGCTTAGTGCAAACTGGCCTGGGGCTTTGCTCAGCACTTTGAGGCTTTTCTTGCACAACTGTGGGCACTGTCTTCTATCAGACATAAAGATAGCAGTCAGATGGCCCTAAACCCTAAACCCTAAACCCTAAACCCTAAACCGTGGTGTGCGTGTCTCAACTCAGGTACAGAAGGGCCCCCCCGGCTCCTTCAATGCCTCTGATTGCTCGCAGCCCTAATCCCCCCTTCGAAACCGCCTAACATAGGAGCCTTAATAATTAGACTAGGGTTTTTTGGGGTATATTCTACTATAATAATAATTATTATTATTATTATAAGGAACCTGCAGAATAGTTAAGGTAACTATGCAGGCCCCTCTATATTACGTAATCCTTGCAACCCTACGGCCCGGATTCCATACTTCCTGAAGGTCCCTCAGCGCTACACCCGAAACTCCCTAAATCCCACAATGCTCAAGCCCTGACCCTAAACCCAAGTCCCTGCGGTGCTTGTAGACCCCATTCTGACTAACCTTAGTTTCTATTTCGTCGCATGTTTCAGCTAAGAGCACCAACCTGACTGTCCGAGTTTCTATTTCGTCTCATGTTTCAGGTAAGACCTCAAAGTCTATTGTCTGCGAACACCCCAAACCCTGAACCCTGAACCGGTTTTGGGTTCTTACCTCCTCAAGGGCTCCTGACTTGATGCAGCGACTTCATCCAGTCGGGCCGATAGCTGAGCATCCACATCTCCCAGGGTCCTTAGCTTAGGGTCCTTAGACTTTAGGGTTTAGGGTTTTGGGTATTGATGTATGGCAGGTCTGCAGCGTCCAGTTCGGGAACTTGGAGCGGATTTGCGAGCGACTTTAGGGCGGAGTGTGCTTTTCTTCAGCCTCTTCAAAACAGCCGCGCTCTGGGCCTTTGTTCGCAGGCTCGGGAATTACAACTAACATGGCCAAAAGGTGCCCTACACCCTAAACCCTAACCCCAAAACCTCAAGCAAGAATGCAAAAACCAACAAAACATGCCAGAGATTCTGCGTCCGTGCGGTGAAAGCCATCTCAAGGGTCTGGATGCGGCTCTCAATGGCGGCATGGCCATCCTTCACCTTTGCAAGAGGGAACCCTGAAAGGAAGCCCTTAAAGGAACCATAAGGGCTCCCGTAAGATCTATAAAAGGCCTCTGTGAAGGAACCCTGAAAAAGAAAGGAACCGTTAAGGGTTACTGTAAGGTTCTACAACATGGCTTACCTTTAAGCCTTCAAGGAGCCCTTTTCAGGCGTTTCGGCCCCTCAAGAGGTTTAGAAGATTAGGGTTTAGGGTTTAGGGTTTTAGGGTTTAGGGTTTAGAAGATGGTTGAGGTTATTGAAGTTTATTGGAGCCTCAAAAGGTGGGATGAAGGATTAAGTATCCCTGATCCCTTGTAAAAGGGTTCAGGGTTTAGGGTGACTCGTATCAGGGATTACCCCACCTACCTTCATCCCATCCCTTGGAGCTCCTTGAGTTTTAGGGAAACTTCGGGCCTACAGAAACATTAAGGACTTCCAATTGGAGGTTCCGATGCCCGCAAACCTTCATGCAGACCTCGGATTCTTAGAGTTTCATCTTGGGATCCCTATGATCTTCTCTTTTCATGAAGGAGGGGTGGTAGCAATAAAGGGTCTGCAGTACCCGGAACCCTACGATACATCCAAGATCATGCAAGAGGCCTTGTTGGATTCGTCATCGATGAGCTTCAGAATCTCTCCGTTCATCTTATCCAGCTCCTCGCTCACCTTTGCCACGTCGTCCTGTAGCCTTGGGCTTCCCGCAGGGTAGGGCCGAAGGGTAAAACCCCCGGAGGTCTGAAGCATCCTTAGGTGCTTTGTTTTAGGGTTTAGGGTTTAGGGTTTTGGGTTTAGGGTTTAGGGTTTAGGGCGTTAAGTAGTTGTGTAGGTTAGTATTTCGAAGGGTTTTAGGGTTTAGGGTTTAGGGTGTTAAGTAGTTGTGTAGGTTAGTGTTTCGGAGAATATAGGAGTGTTGGGCACGTGGACCCTTAGGGCAACGTACTAGTACGACAACATTTTCCCAATGAGTGGTAGCATGGACGTGATATAACAATCCATTACCCTTAGCATCGAAGGACTCATATTTTAAGGCTTTGGGGCCCAAAGACCCTATTATATAAAGCTTTTGGTCTATTTTGATGCTCAGGGTTATGAAGATATCCCAATGAGTGGTAACATGCTTTGGCGAATCGCTGCGTTGGCCCATAGTACACTACCGGCACGCTAAGTTACAATAAGCCCAGCATATCCTATAGTTTACGACACCCTGGCAGAATGTGCTAGAACGCAATCGCCAACTACTAACATACTGCAACACAAAATGGTGTAAGGCGATGAGATGTCACACAGTATCATGCAAGCAGGTCTCTGTGTATCCATCGTGCCAATCCGTACATGTACATGTATATGTGTATGTGTATGTATGTGTGTGTGTATATACATATATATATATATGTATGTGTGTATGTATATATATATATATCTATATAAGCATATATATATATATATGCATAAATACATATACATATACATATA